ATTACGGGAGCCGGAGTCGACTAATCGTACTTAGGATAAACATGCAACATTAACGCGGTAGTCGTGTAACGTGCGCACAGTCACTGCCTGGCTCCCAATATTCAAGAGGGTTTTCACGTTCCAGCATCCCACGTAGAGATGCTTTCTAAGTTGGAGAGGTTGAGGAGGTCCAGTTTGCATTCTTGACACCCCGACCATTGGAGCGCGGGGCGTGTCGCTTACCGGGAACGCTGTAGCATGGGTAACGAAGCTTGCAGAAGACATAACCATGAAGGTACTTTGGAGTTCGGTACGAGAAACGTCCCCAGCGTCACTCGGCGTTTTTTATTTTGAGGGCGCATCTCTAGCCTTGGCGAAACCTACTGCGAACTACAAGACAGCAGTAACTAGAAGTATCCCTCGATGATTAGTGCACGCTCCCCTTCTTGGAAACAGAAACGATCAATGGTTCGCCCCAGGACGAAGGAATAGGCTTTTTTTATTACAAACCAGTGTGACGAACAGCAGATGGGATAAATCCCATAGTCACGAAGATCTGCTGTTCGGTGATGCTGTGTAGTAAACCAGTGATCGAGTCAACGAGAAAATCGACCACGAAGTGGAAAGAATGAGGAGAAGCCTGTCAGGCGCAACTGTCTTTTCTTTCCTTAGCGATCGAACACTAGTAGGAGCTTCGCATGTTACCACGGAGCTTTGGCTTCGACTGCTGGAATAACCGCTCCAACACTACACCAGTTGAACTGTTCACTAAAATACTCTGCCCAGCGACTGAACCACTGATGGTTTTGTGGATGGCCTGTCTACGTTTATCACAAATGGTTTCCATGATTGATGACGGCCTCGGGTGAAGCGTAACAGGTGAAACTGCTTTGATCAGTCCCCGATGTAGAGGCTGATTCCATTTCACTGCTTTAATTCACCAAATTTATCGATTTTCCTTCAGGCTGTCCCTTGAGCCGACTTTGCAGACGCCACCAGTCCTTACGCTGATCCTGGCAGATATATATTTGTTCCACCAGGAACGCTGACCCCTAAAACATCCTATGTCCCCGACGAAATTCGGATTCGGAACCAAAAGCAGTTTGCCGTCGAATACAACATCTATTTTGATGCCGCCGTTGATCTAACCCACCACGTCCGATGACCCTAGCTTCATCCTACCCCATGTTTGTTGGTTTAAAAGGAATCACAAGAGGTTTCGGAAAATTCACACCTGGTTTCAATTTCGGATTATCTCTTAGGACTTCTAAGTGAAAAATTAGAAGTCAAACACAAAGCTGCCAAGAAAATTTTCATAGTTTTGCACCAAGTCATCAATACCGAGGACTACGATGTCGGGAGGTAGTAAACAGTGATTATTGCGGAAAAAATTAGATAGGAGTTTGTAATACGCTGACCTCAATGTCATCAAGAGGTTCGTCACTTTTTTGACATCGGTTTGGGTTGCTGGTACATAAAACTAAAGTCAGTCCCGCAATGACATCGACCTCTCTGGGGCGTTTCGACTTAGAAACAACTCGTTTTCCACATTGAGGGGAAACCTCGACAGACTGCAGGAGTCTCTTTGTTCCTCGTTCTCCCACTCGTAAACCGGACTAACCCTAAAATTTGCGATACCGGAACATTTTTGGGCGTTCGTTGATCAATTTCTCCCTTTCGGGGCCAACCGTTGCGCATTTCAGTTCCTATAAACAGCAAACATTGCGCATGGGCATACACGATTGCCGAGAGTATTTCTCGCTATTCCGTGGTGAGCTCTGTAGTCTTGAAAAAAACCTGTGCATGAACTTTTCTTTGATGACACTTGGCACGTATGCGGTCACCGCATGCTGGCTTCAACTCTGCGGGCATAATCACGTGCCAGCTCCTCTCTTCGCTCTACAGATTATCACATTACAGTCGCCGTCCAGATTTCTTGACACAGTTGGTCTTTGTTAAAATTATGTACGCCCCTTCTACCACTCACCGCAAATCGGTGGACAAAGAGAAAAGCGTTAAAAATGTTGAATAGGACGTTCAACTAACAAATTAGAAATTATTTCAACTCTTATTTACATCGAAGACAAGATACGGAAGACCAACATCTCAGTAACGCAGAGGTAAGAAGACACCTAGGGGAATTGGGACGCAAGATTCGCTACATACCTGAAATGGAGTGTCCGCAGTTTCTGATTCCATAGCAAGCCGCCCATATTCAGTAAATAAGTGAAGGTGTTGCAGGTGGTCTTCTTGTATATTACCGTGTATGTTATAAACCTGAAGGCTGCTGAGCATGGTACTCAGAGCAAACACAGTCGCACACTGTCGTACGGTAGACGTGCTGTCAAACGATCCCTTTTACTTCAATCAAAACTAAAATGTTAAGTTACCTGCGTGTCCATCAATAATACAGCCACTTCCTCTCCTGACGGAAGGGTAAAGAGGAAAGGTTCACTCCAAAGGAGTATACCTGTCGTGTATCGTTCGGAGCCTCCGCGCCAAGGAAAGCCCTCGAGAGGCAAATTGGGATCCCCAAGCCAATTATCATTATCAGCAGACCGAAGATATTTTAGGAAAAAGTCCAGTAAGAACGACTTTCCCTGACGGAAGGCTCCGGCAACGGAGATGACAACAGCTTTTTTATCTCTAATTTCTGGACGGAGGAGGATTTTAGACAAAGCTTTCTCATCAAGTGTAAACGACGTTTTATCATTACGCTCTTCCACAGAAACTATTTGCACTGCGTGTCCGGTATTTTTACTCATAGTCGAAAAACTAACGGAACGACACGCCGAAGTTTGTAGCACCACAGGCAAAACACGCGCCTGGGTCAGTTCAGCTCAGTTCACTTCAGTTGCACAGGACGAATGTGGCTCTTGCCAATCGAGCGTCCAGTGTTGTCGGCGGACGGGAATAGCTTCCAACACTGCGTACAGTTGATTGGGTATCTGTGATCCTCACACTTCAACCCCGTGTCCAGAACGTTGTCTCCTT